GGGGGAAGGTCCCAAGGTGAGAAGAAAGTGGAAAGGTGGCACATGTTCATCTCAGCAAGATCTTGAGGGCCTTTACTGGGGGATGCGCCTCATTTTCTGTCACCCTTGGGAGCATCAGAGGTGCTTTCCTGACCCCAAAACACACCCATCCCTCCCATTTCTTCTTGGAGCCCAAACTTCCTTATCCCCCCCCCCTCAAAAATCCCCTGGGCTCCCTCCAGGACCAGCCCTCGTTTCTCAGATAGGTTGTGATAGAGCTGGGACAACTTTGAAGGATGGAGGAGGGTGAGAAATAGGCCTGTGCCAGATGTAGCACCCTGAATCTGAAGCGGGATGAGGTACCAGAGAGCTGATGGAGGTTGTAAGAGCAGCAGGGACATGGAAGGTCGCTCTGATCCCCCCATCCCATCATCCACGCAGGGAAATGGGTCTTAATGTGAAGCCTAATGAAGGAAAGCCCATCTCCACCACCAGCTGAGCTGCAGGGGGGAGGTCATGCTGTGTTCAGTGTTAGGTTTTCTTGCACGCTGTTACTGGTCTTGGCTGGAAATGGGACCCCAAGTCCGCTTTCCCCATAACCCCAGGGGCTTCGTCATCCTGCTCGGTGCTGATAGCGCTGCTGGTCCTGGTGATGCTGCTGAGCGGGGTCCTGCTGTGGCTCAACCTGAAGAGGAGGTGCATGGCAGCAGCCCAGGCTAGAGGTGACAGTCCCATCCCTGTGTCCCGTGTTGTGTGTGTGTGTCCCCATAACTCACTGCCCCCGCTCCAGCCACCCCAAAACCCAGGGGGACGCAGAGACGGGGATCAGCTCAGCAGCTGCCAGAGCCCGGTGACAGCCTGGTGTCCCCTCCATCTCACAGCCCGCCAGCACCCCATGGACCAGAGCACTTCAGGAACATCCTTCCAGCCCATGGGGGCCATCTACCTCCCCACCAAGGCAGAGGCTCCCGAGGACGCCGACACCGAGACGACGCAGCTCATGAAGGAAGACGCAGCCCCCTGATGCCAGCCCCCCGCCAAGCTCATGACACGG